GTAGCATCTGAAGGGGAAGGTTTTCAAACAATTCTACTAAAAATTGAAAGTAACGCGGCCCATTCAGATGTTCAGGTAGAAAATGCGGCCCAATTAAACGATCGCCATATACTCCTGCCCATACATTGACAGCGAATCTCCTATGAAAGCTAAACCGACGAGTAGTGTGCGGGTTTTTATCTGACCAAATGTGACTATTATGGCTGCAACGAAATTAGCTCTGTTTCACTTTAAATAAAATTTAATATTGAAGTTACAAAACTCCAAGAGTTCACGTAATTTAAATTTCATTTCACAACCATCTCAATTTCATTACAAAAATAATGACATAAAAAACCGACACTCACTACTCACTAGATAAATTATAAAGAGAGGGTGAAATGTATGTAGTATTTAAATACTGACTGTAAAGATCGGACGGAGACAAGTAATCAACTCGGTACGTGATTCCGATCTAGGTTAACCTGTGTCTAGGTCAACCACGATCCTTTTTTACGGACCGTGTAGGTCAATGACCCACTTTTTAATTTGCACGTGTACAAATAGTCCAGGAGCCAGATAGAGTGCCGTGGCAAACAGAGTCACACGGCTGCAAACAATGTAATGAATACGGATGATTGTTTTCCAATGTACGGTTATTACAATTTATAATTTTTAATATTATTAACGTTTTCACGTTTTATAATTTATTATGTTAAATAATACACAGTTTTAGTATTTCAATTTATTATTCAATATGCAGTTGCGTATAACCAAAGTTTACATAATAAATGTAAACTTTAGTGTAAATCTAAACTTTGGTGTAACCTAGGTAGGCACTNGTCAGGAGGGAATCGAGGCAACAAAACCGTGTTTTCTGGCCCAAAATCCTGAGTTCGTTGCCAGATCACGAAGATCTCCAGAACCACTCCGAGGACCCCATCGAAGACCTGCAACCGCCATCCAAACCTAAGGAGTTAGCAGCCGGGAGCAATCATCCGGAATAAGTAAGCAAATTGTATTTTCCGATGTTCATTTGTCCTGCTATGGTATAAGTCTGGCCGCATTTGAACTCTGGCAAAACAGTAGGACCACAGCGTAGTCAGCGAAGGTTTATCTGGGTTGCAGGTTCGTACGGCAGCTGTGTTGTAGGGACGGTTTGGCTGGGCATCCCACCGTCCAAGCTTGATAAACGCTGTAAGGCACAGTAACTGAAGCTGCTGGTTTGGCTGGGTAGCCCACCGCCAGTAGAAGACGTTGTGTGTTGGTCATGCAACGACGGATAGACCCTTGAAGTTTGGCTGGGTACCCCACCGCTTCCAGGAGAAATCTGTCACCCACCACGCGACCGAACGTGAACCTCGAACAGACTTTGCCTTCTGTTAACCAAGCAATTCCTTTTCCTGATTACCGTTGGCTTATTTTATAACTTTTTTTATAACTTTATAACTATCTTAACTCGAATAGATATGTGAAGGAGCTACTGACAAAGCTATGGAGCCTAATCAGAGAGTTAAAGCTAGATGAACAAATATAAAATTATGGGGAATCTACAATTTATAATCTCTTTCATTTATTAAGATTCTTAATTATTCTTTAAATAAGCTTAACTCATAGTCCAATAAATTGACAGTACGTAACTGTAAAATTGCTCGTTTCACAAAATAAAAATAAAACAATAGTAATTTTTTCTTAAAAGGACTAAAAGATAAGTCGTGATTATCAGTTAAAAATTGCGACAGTTGAAAGTACAGATTTCAAATCAATGTCGTACGTTTTTCAGCAAAAATAATTCTTAGTAGCACAGTTTCTAGTCTGGCTGTCACATAACGTTTCGAAAGACATCTCTCTTTTTTCAGAAGAAATTATGAAATTATAAAGTGTGAATTTAGAATCTAGTTTTGTTAATATATTTTTTTAAATCTATGCATGTTCTTTGTACTGATTTAAAACTATTACTATTAAATTTAATACTATCAACAACTTCCTCCCACAGTGACAACTTTTTAATAGCCTATATTTCATAAATAAAATCGAAATCGGTCACGCTACAAGTCATAAACGGACATTATTCCTCCGCATGCATATGCCACGATAGAACTTAAATTAGATGTGGCAGTAAAACCACCCTGATCATAAAATGTTTATGGTTCTTAGATCTGACACATAGTCGAAGACAATACACGTGCTTCACTGGAATGCCGTATTTACAACCGTTGAACTACTAAGACACAGGTGGGTTTAATTAAATTTATATGGTGTGAGGCAAATAATAGGCAAAGAAAATAAATATTTTATTGAAGCTTGATTGCAGTTTAAAGTGTTATAATTGTTACTAAATATATTTAAAAGAATTTCAGAAGATACATTTAGATTATTTCTTTTTAGTAAAATTGGTTTGCTCACAAATAACTGTTACATAGAATCTTGTTGAACTGACTATTTCAATGAATTAATAACGAGCGTTCAAATAAAAACGTGGTCAAGTTGGTTCTGAAAATTTGGACGTAGGGCGTAGCGTATAGCAAATGAACTTAAACGTCATCTGTCAAATCGCTATAATCGCCGCTATCAATTTGAATATTTTCGTTTTAAAAAGCGTTTAAAATGGTGTTTTCTCAAGAACAAAAAGTGTTTATCATAGAGTCCTACCTTAGAAATGGACGCAAGATTGATGGAATATGGAAGTATTCTATTGAGGAATGTTTCATAGAATTTCAAAATCAATTTCCCGGCGTTGTTGAGTACAAAATTTTTCAAAGTGCAGTTCAGCGTTGTGTTAATGTTTTTCGTGAAACGGGCAGTGTAACAAGAAAAGAAGGAAGCGGCCGACCTAAAAAGCGGACTGAAGAATTAAAAGAAAATGTCCAACAAATAATGGAAAATGCGCCAAGAACTTCTGTACGTGTTTTATCACAAATGGTGGGAGTATCAGTCGGTACCTGCCACACAGTGTTAAAAAA